AATCTCCCCTCCCACAAAGTCCATGTGACCTTCACTTTGGCAAATCCAAAGAAATCTGTGCCAAGAGGCCACCCGCAGTTCATTTATTGATTTGACAAATACCAGCTAGCCAAGGAACTGTACAAGGGCAGTCTTGATCACCTTCTCTCCCACGTACTAATGTAGATTCATCTTCTATCTACCAGCAGTCAACTTTCAAAATCCTTAGAAACACAATCCTCTGAAATGTCTCTACTTTTCAAAAAGGATAAAATTGGTCAGTGTGTTCAAAGACTTAGGGAAGCAAGAGGGACAACAGGATGGTATGAGCAGTTCTTCTACCATATCTCAATAAAACAAGCCTGTAGCACAGTAACACGGTAATCAGAACTCAAACCAGGTGTATGGGAGGAAATGGAAAGATTAACTGTTAGGCTGTTATCTGTCGGAACATCGAGATCAGGATTTTGGTGAAAATCTGAATTTTCTGAAAAAATTAATGCCATCAACTTTGAGACTGAAACATGTCACTGCTCTTCATGCAGCTTCAGGTTCCCTTCAGCTCCACTTCACTAACCTATACTCAAACTGTAACAGCAGAACAAATCCATGATTTGTAAAAGGCCACTCTATCAACAGCCAATGCAAATATGTTCTCCATCTGCCCTGCAAGGGAAAAAACTGCCTAGCTTTGCAGGTCAGTTGAAAGATGCTTCTAAACAACTTGGAAATTTACAACTAAAGGTAAAATTTCCATGATAAATCTCCTTTTCGCCTCCCAGAATCTTCGCGCTCAGCTGTACTAACTATCCTGTCACACTGCAAGACACAAAGATCATTTCCTAGTGTTTCCTCAGAATTTCATCAGTTCACTTGATTGAACTTACTCTAGATGTTACGGCTCTGCACATAGAATATAACCAGTAAGCCCTTATGAGCAACTACGTTTACGCAGTGGAAAAAGAAACAGAACACCGAGATGCACAAGTTACTAGTCTAATCTCAGGCCTCTCGAATACGTGGCTTGGCCTGTTCTAACCCACACCAAAGATCCCACCAAAAACCATACCGTAGATTTGTGCTACGTGGCCACCACCCTTTACACGGACTCTGATGTCAACACCAGCAAATCGTTCCTTCCCCAGGAGGAGGACAGGTTCAAGCAGCTGGGAAACAAAACACAGTAAGAAAATTAATTGCAACAACAAGGATTAGTTCGTAGTAGGTTTACTAAACGTGAAGTTATTAAATGTTCTGAAAAATGGAGCCTTGATTTCACAAGCACACACCCAAGTTAAGTGCACTTCTTGCAGAGTCCTTTGACACCTGCTAGTACTGTTGTAAAATAAACTTATTGAAATCTTGAAATATTTTTTCTAACTTTCAAAAATCTTAATAGCAAAGTATATGTTCACAGGGATTAAGAGCAAGAGAATAGTTTAAGTAGAGTGCCATAATTACATCAGCATTAGAAAAATAAATCAAGTTATTAAAATTGAAGATCTGAGGTAACTTGTGGGTATTTTTCTCCACTGTTTATATTTATCTCCACAATTTATATTTATCTAGACAGTTTTAGATTCTCTCAGCAGTGTTCAAACAACTATTTTATTAAGTCTTAAAGAAACGTTTTAGAAGGAGGGTTTTATGTCACCTATTTCAATTTGAACAATGGATGTGAAGTGCTGAAAGTACTTCACACTACATTAATACACATTCATCTAATTAAGAAAAAAACCTCACCCATCCCAAGACAATCTTAAAAAGACAGTTTTCTGCATTTTCATAACGGCATCTACATTTCAAGCAATCAGGGAACACACAACCAAAAATTTAGTGCTGTCAATAAGGTAAGCAATTCTTCACCACCAAGACACTATGTGTATAAAAGTATCTTAATTTCCAAGGTTGAGGGAGGCTGGACGGATGCTTACTTTATACTGCAGAGTTCTGGGCTCAATCATTTCCAGAGGTCTTCCATTCACTTTAATGAGGCCATTTCCTCTCTTGCAGTGGGCAACAGCAGTTGCTGTTTTCTAAAAATCCAAATGCGTATTAGTGCAGCACTTCGTTTTTGCACTAGTGAATTTCCATTTAAACAATCTAAAAACCTTAAATTTTATGCCCAAAATTAGCATTAAATAAAACAGTGCTGCTCCTTACATTCCCAGGTATTCGCTTAAAGTATTAAGCATGTTTCAATAAAATTATATTTATAGTTACAAATGCTACACAGTTATACCATTTAGTTATAAATGAGGGAAAGACACCCTATCTGTTCTACGACACGGTATTTTTGTGGCTCG